GTAGTGTTCGACAGGACACTGTCATTTAAAAAGCATGTTTCAAAACTGATAAAAACTGTAAAATTTAATTTATCGCAGTTCAGATATATTCGCCCGCAAATGAGCACAGATGCAGCCAAGCTTTATTTGCATGCAATGATATTGTCACATTTTACATATTGCATCACAACTTGGTCTTTATCAACCAACTCTGCGTTACAGCCGCTTCAAAGCTTGTACAAACAGGCACTCAAAATTTTAGATAAAAAACCTGTTTCATACCATTACTGTAACATTGTGAAGAAATATAGATTATTAACGTTTGAAAATTTTGTTTTGTTTTCGAATGTTAATTTAGTATATAAAATTTTTCATGATTTGGCACCACAGCCCCTGAGTATGTTTGTGAAATCGTGTGAAGAGGTAGGACTTAGAACAACGCGAGCCTCCTCGAGAGGAGACTGTTATGTCAACTTTAGGTCCTCTGCTTTTGGACAGAATTGCTTCTCTGTGAAAGCTGCAGGGATGTGGAACTCGCTGCCTTTAACTATGCGAGAGAGTAGCACCTTGCAACAGTTTAAACTTAACCTGAAGAAATGGTTGAAAGACGGTCACATTTGTGATCATTAGCACAAAACTGGTTAATTGGGGTTTGGTTAAAAATGTAAGAAGGTAAATTTAAAAGGGAACTGTACATAGTTGTAAATACTACTGGTAGTGCAATTGCATGTTTTGTTGAGATGATCCTTTTGCTGGTGTTTTATCTGTAATTTTGTATTATGAAAGGACTCATCATTGGAAATGCTCATTGTCCACTGTATTAACCTGCTGTCACCTTGCCTCTGTCCAGGGACTACAGATGAAAATTAGCTTCTAGCTATTTCTGGTCTGTGCAACACATTTGTTGTGCAATGTCCCTGTTAAATAAACAAATAAATAAATAAATAAACTACAACTAAAACCATGGAAAAAAAAGTAAAAACACAATCACTTGGGAAAAAAAGATTAACTGATATGCAATTTTTTTTAAATAAATAAATAAATACTATATAGACATTGAAAAACCTGGTAACACTTTACAAATAAGGTTCATTAGTTCTTTCATTATTTAATTACCTTAATGAACTTCAATAACATGAAGTTAAGATGAACTAAGAATGAATAATACTTCTACAGCATTTATTAATCTTAGTTCATAGTAGTTTCAACATTTACTAATACTTTATTAAAATCAAAGGTTGTATTTGTTAACAGTTAAAGCACCGTGAAGTAACATGAACAAACAATGAACAGCTGTATTTATATTAACTATCATTAAGAAAGATCTGGCTTGCCCACTGAAGCTAAGCAGGGCTGAGCCTGGTTAGTACCTGTATTGGAGACTCCTGAGAAAACCAGGTTGCTGCTGGAAGAGGTGTTAGTGAGGCCAGTAGGGGGCGCTCACCCTGTGGTCTGTGTGGGTCCTAACGCCCCAGTGACAACACATCTTCATTTATATAGCGCTTTTAACAACATAGATTGTTCCAAAGCAGCTTTACAGTGATAATAGGAAATTAAAGTAACAGAGATTGTTTTGGCTTTATGACAGCTCTAGAATAAAGTTATTGTCCAGCTAAAGTTAGTTTTGATTGATTCACTTCCGTCGCAACGATCATTAGTTATTAACTTAGGGGCCGCTAACACGACACCGTTTTAACAGAAAACTCTTAAGTTCTCTCTTGGTTCTTCCTGGTTCTGGTAAGAACTCGAGCTGCTGCATTTTGGACCAATTTGTTTATTAAGCGTGCAGGGCAACCACCCATAATAGCATTACAATAATCTAGCCTTGATGTCATGAACGCATGAACTAATTGTTCCGCATTTGTCAATGAGAGCATATGACGTAAGCATACTGACTGTCTCAGTACTATGGTACGGTCTGAATCCTGACTGGAAATCCTCGCATGATATAATTTCTTTCTAAAAAGGAACACAGTTGTGAGGATACTGCTTTTTCTAGTATCTTTGACAGAAAAGGTAGATTCGAGATCGGCCTGTAATTGACCAATTCTGTACGATCAAGTTGCGATTTTTTAACAAGCGGTTTGAGGACACCGCCGGCTTAACAATGAGACTACAATGCACTGCCTGAGGCGATGTTATAGTAGTGTAATGCCAAACCAGCAGAGGGAGCCCTCACCTGAGTACTGACTGTGTTCCACTCCCTCTGCTTCTTCTGCACTCATTTCCTGTTTGACTGCTATTTAACCAGAGACCATTCTTATACTCATTGCGAAGTATTGCCAGTTTACCTGCCTTACCGAGCGTTATTTCCTGTTGATCCTGCTTGTCTACGGTGTATGATTCTGCCTGGTTATCTGTTTTTCGATTTTCTGGATTATCCCCTTTGTTTTGGTTGCCTGATCGGACTGATGTTTTTGCTTGGACCTTTTGCCTGCCTACTCACCCTTGCTTTTTGGAATTCTGTTGAAAGATCTGACTGCTACCTTGGTTTTGACCCTCTGCCTGCCTTATCGTATTTGTTTGTGGAAACTGTCTTTTAATAAACTTCCGCACATGGATTCTCACTCAGCCTCAGCGTCCTCGTTACAAGTAGACGGTTGCATAGTTTAATTTTCTCCCTGATATTATCAATCTTATAAGTGAAGAAGGTCATAAAGTCATTACTGTTGTGCTGCTTGAAAACTTCTTGGCTTGAAGCTTTATTTTTCGTTAGTTTAGCAACTGTTTCAAATAAATACCTAGGGTTTTGTTTATTTTCTTCTAATAGGGTTGAAAAATAAGCAGATCTAGCAGCTTTTAAAGCCTCTCTGTAAGCAATCGAGCTCTCTTTCCATGAAATTCGAAATACCTCTAGTTTAGTTTTCTTCCAGTTTCGCTCCATTTTTCTGGCTGATCTCTTAAGGGCCTAGGTGTGCTCCTTGTACCACGGTGTTGGACTATTTTCTTTAATCTTCTTTAAGCGCAACGGAGCAACTGCGTCTAAAGTGCTGGAAAAGAGAGAGTTAAAAGTTTCTGTCGCAATATCAAGTTCTTCTAAGCTCTGGGATGCTGAGATGATGAAACTGATCAGGAATGTTATTAATAAAGCAATCTTTAGTAGCAGAAGTTATAGGTCTAACATATTTATTACACGGAGTCGGCTTTGCAGCCTTGGCTAAATGGAGTTTACACGAGAGTAGATAATGATCTGAGATGTCATCGCTCTGCTGCAGAATTTCAACGGCATCAACATTGATTCCATGTGATAATATTACAGATAGACACAGATAGACAGTCTATCTGTCTGTCTGTCTATCCGTCTGTCTGTCAGTGTCTGTCTGTCAATCCATAATAATAATAATAATAATTAATAATTGGTTACATTTATATTGCGCTTTTTCTGGGACCTCAAAGCGCTTCACATATGGAAGGGGGAATCTCCTCAACCACCACAATGTGCGGCACCACCAGGATGATGCGACGGCAGCCATATTGCGCCACAACGCCCACCACACACCAGCTTACTGGTGGAGAGGAGACAGTGATGAAGCCAATCAGTATATGGGGATGATTAGGAGGCCATGATGGACAGAGGCCAAAGGGGCAAATTTGGCCAGGATGCCGGGGTTACACCCCTACTCTTTTTCGAAGGACATCCTGGGATTTTTAATGACCACAGAGAGTCAGGACCTCGGTTTAACGTCTCATCCGAAGGACAGTATAGTGTCCCTATCACTACACTGGGGCGTTAGGACCCACACAGACCACAGGGTGAGCGCCCCCTACTGGCCTCACTAACACCTCTTCCAGCAGCAACCTGGTTTTCTCAGAAGGTCTCCCATCCAGGTACTAACCAGACTCAGCCCTGCTTAGCTTCAGTGGGCAACCAGTCTTGGGCTACAGGGTGATATGGCTGCAATCAATCAATCCATCCATCCGTCCGTCCGTGTATCCGTGTTTGCTCAGCATCTGTCTATGCTTTGTTTCTCCAATGGTGTACAGTTCAGATATTTTGCCAGACTCTATTTTCTTTTCAATGCTCGATAACATTCCAATTTACTATTTCATTTTGACCATTCAAATATGAATTTCATAACATTTATTTGAGTGCTTCTGAGAATGCAAAGTTGAGTTACCGAGTTCAGAATCGAATTAGCTCTGTACATTAATAATATACAAATGTATTAATTCTTGTACCCATGGCCTTTTTGATGTAATACAACTTGTGTGAGAGCTCTCTTGTCTTGGCTATATTTGCTGTTCAACTTCAGCACATGCATGTGTCACAACTACAGATAATTACGTGTCGATATAGAGGTCCCTAATGCTTAATTATATATATATATATATATATATATATATATATATATATATATATATATATATATATATATTAGGGCTGTCAAATGATTAATCGTGATTAATCACATCCAAAATAAAAGTTTTTTATACATAATATATGTGGGTGCACTGTGTATAATTATTTTATATATATAAATACACACACATGCTTGTATGTATTTAAGAAATATTTTCATGTATATACTGTATGTAGATTTATATATAATTTATATTATATATAAATATAAATATTTTATATATAAATAATATTTTTTTCTTAAATATACATGGATGTGTGTGTATATACAAAATAATTATACACAGTGCACCCACATATATTATGTAAAAAAAACTTTTATTTTGGATGTGATTAATCGTGATTAATCATTTGACAGCCCTAATATATATATATTTTAATACTATTATTTATTTATTTATGTACCACAGTTTTGAAAACAGCAATGTTGAATAGGGGTTGGATAATTATAAATAGATGTGTTAGGCCTATAAAAAATTCTTTACATATTGACATTATCACTTTTAATATGCCACTAAATGCTTACATTTGTAAATTATTCCAGTCTCTGTGGGGTTGAATAATTTTGATTGCAAGTGTATGTTTACAGGCATCGTGTGTGTCCCTGAGGTTATTCCGTAGGAAACATCATCGTGACGTCATCACCCCGAAACTGAAAGCCGCTGCAGTTCTGCTGTGAGGAATGGAGATCTGGCAAAGTTTACCTCTGGACTGTCTGATCAGCATCTTCTCTCTTCTTCAAGATGAAGATTTAATCAGAGCATCCACAGTTTGTAAGGTAAGCGATGATGATGACATCCATATATTAATCGACGTCAGTCGCGTAGAAGAGTCTAGAAAGCCCGAGAGTCAGACAGATGACAGGCTCTATTATTCTTGTTTCCATTAGAAAGAGATGGAAACTACTTTACAGTTGAAGTAACCTGAATTGATTGCTTGCGACAAGAACTGCACGCTATTTTTTCATTTTCATATATATTGACATACATATACATACATTTTTGCTTGAATATTGCCACTGACAAACTTTCGTGGACTTTGAATTGAAAGGACACAATGACATATTACAATATGATCATTATTTAGAACTAGTAATAAAGAAAGCCAGGACATATTTATATTGCTTCAATGTCTCATAAGTAAAGAGAACATGAATTAGAAATCTTGCACACTTTACATTTACTTTACAGACACTACAGTTTTACGAGTCTACATTACACTGAAAACCTGGGATTCAAAATCCAATTTAAACCTGGAAAAACTGAAGATTTTATGACCGTTAAAAAATGTATAACATAGAAATATACAATTTTCTAGGTAACTAATCATATAATCAAATGTGTGACATTGAGCATGTGAAACACAAAAGATGCTATTTGAAAAAATCACAATTCCTAACATGGATCATCTGTTTTTTTCAATGCCAGCTCGCTGTTATCATAAAGTAAGAGGGACACATACCAAATACTGATATTTTCGATGTATAATTTATATAATATATTATATATAATATATTCATGTATAATTTTCAACTTTGCACTGTAATTGTGATGCTGATATAAATTGTAAAACAGAAAAAAAGAGCTAAATGGAAGCATTTCCACTAGTGGTCAGACTTGTGGACCTCACGTACTGTATGTTATCTTCATGCACATTTAATGTGTGTGTAGGATTGGTGCTATGCTGCGGAGACACCGTGGTTGTGGAGGTAAGTCAGTAAAGGTTATATGTCGTTAAACATCGCTTAAACTGTCAAATTACAATAATTATCGGTACTGTTTGCTATATAAGGGTCATTCCTGGGATTCAGTGCCTTTTGTGTCCCCAGTAAAGATCATGATCTTACAGCATTAAAATGTTGATCAGTATCCATTTTAAAGCTGTCTTAGTCATAAATAACAACATTTAAACTATAAGCATATAGGATATTTTTATCAACATAAAAGTTGATAAATATATATATATATTTCAGCGTTTTGACCATATATCACCATATATCCATTTTTTCCAATGTAGATTATTGGGTATATCAGTAATGACTCTCTAATAATGTATAGTTTCTTCAATTACCGGTATTACATTTGAACAATTATAATAAATGTTTTTTTTTTAGCAAGTTTTTAGTCTCTCAAGTTATTGTCCACTCTGTTTTTTTGACTACTTTCCCTTCTAATGAAAGTTGGAGAAGTTAAATGACACAATTTAAAGCAGTCATCACTTCTTCGGTGGGACAACAACTTGGGCAAGTTTGTGAGAACTATTATTTTAACTGTCTATTTGACAAATTTTATCTTTCAAATTGTATGTGGTCAACACGTCCACTCTGTTAAGGGATATATTAAAACAGTCAGTAGAAAACCCATATTTTTAAAATTACAGTTTGAAAACCATGCCGTTCTTTATTTGCTGAAGCGTCTAAGTTAGCTTCTTGTTGCTCAGACGTGTTAAACCAGTGGACACTGAGAGTAAACATTGTGATTGTGAAAGTAAGTTATGTTTAAAGTTCAAGAAGTAGTGTATTTAAAGTTCTTTAGTTATGTTTTACTGTTTCTTATCAAAATTCAGTTCAAACTAAATTAATATTGTAACTGGTTGTAGGTGAGAGATCCATCCGTCCATTTTTATACCACTTGTCCACCCTGTTATTACTTAGTCCACCCTAATAAGTCAAGTTAAGTCAAGTCACCTTTATTTATATAGTGCTTTTACAATACAGATTGTATCATTGTATCAAGTTTGTTTCTAGAAGAAAATTGCGTCATCGTAAGGCAGATCAATAATATAACTATCTATATAGTTTTTGTTTACAATAATTTCATAAAAATAGCTCAAAAAAACCCTAATAATTCAGTGACAATGAAATTTTTTTGGAGTATCAATGATATACTCTAAAACGTAAACAAAAACGCTTTTTAGGCATTTTGATCTGAAAACAAAAAATGTAAAATGATATGTTTGTAAAAAAAGCAAGTACAATTCATAAAAGGACAAAGGCACATGATGAGTTGTCTAAGAAAATGTACAAAATGCCCATACATTAGAATCTAAATTAGGAGTATTTTTGTCCCTGTGGACATTTTTGATCTTCCATTCCATTGATAAATAGTTAAATTGAGCTTGACCAAAATCTTTTTTTCAAATGTTTTCCATCACCGTATCATGATTAATGATTTTTCTCTTAAAAACTGAGTTTGATGGCCCTGAATGCCAGGGATGACGCATGATGGCATTCCTCTGAGGATGTCTTGTGTTATCAGCACACTCTCCTGTTGAGACGCTGAAGGTCGAATGCTTGTGTAGGAGAATGTGTCTGCAGAGATGGAGTTTCTGCAATGTTTCCCAGCATCTCTCAGACACCGGGACACACTCATGGAAAGCGTATTACCTGCGTCGTTCTCTCCTGGAGATGAAAATGAAGACCGGCAGGTCGAGTGCAGACTACACGTGCAAAACCCTACGAGGACACAACGGCAAGTGGTCTCAGACAAACACATGCTATAATGCCAATGCAAATCACATCAAGGGCTATTTCAATTGTCTTCAGTTGATTTTATGACACATTGGCCACATTTACATGCAACCAAATAATCTGTTAGTGAAGTGAATCAGATTGGGAGGGGTGGTGTAGACCTGACATAAGAACTGTAATTGCTTGAATCCAATTGATTTGCTAAAAATTATTTGATAAATATATTTGCTAAAGCAACAATTACACTGTAGCTACGGTGACATTCATGCTTTCTCTGGCTCTGAACGCAGCAAATAGGCAGTTTTGTTTTCCAGAATACATGTACTGCACATGTAAATGAATATGTGAATATGTATTATTAGTATTGCTAATCTGAAATCAGATTGGGTTCATTCGGATTGATGTAAATCTGAGTTTTTGAGTCACTCTGTTCGTCCACAGGCAGGGTTGTGGGTTTGGCGTACCTGTCTGGGAACGACGGCCGCTCAGACGTGTGGAGAAGCGCTCCAGTTGTCTGCAGTGCGTCGACAGACGGGACAGTCAAAGCCTGGGACATTCACAGGGTATTACAGGCTTTCTCGTTCGTGTGGCAGAGACCTGATGAAAGTGTGTGGATCTCAAGAAACACCGGTGGCATATTTCACCCCCAAATCAGAGAAATATCTCATTCACATAACAGCGGTGCCTGGGGATCGAGAACGCACTCCCTGAAAAATAAATAAATAAATAAATAATTACTTCCTGGACAATGTTAGGAAGACTGTTCCAGAGTTTTGGTGCTAAATAGGAAAAGGATCTACCGCCAGCAGTCGATTTTGATATTCTAAACCCTACCTAGAATACAGCAGGGTGACTGAACATGATCTCATATTTATTATGCATAAAGAAACTGAAGCCTATTGTAAGGACTATTTTGTGCTATGACATTATTTCTTATGACAGTTAAGTGCAACCAAATTGAAGTTAGTCAGTTTCTGATCCAGCTATCTGTGGTTTGCTGCAGGGTGTGAGTGTGTGGTCGAGTCCGGCCCAGAGCCCGATGCAGGACCTCACAGTGGACCCGGCACAGTCTGTGGTCGTCACGTCCGACAGCGCGGGGACCATCAAGACCTGGAGCGGCTCCAGCGGAGAGGAGCTGGCCTGCTTCACGTCTGGGTTCTCCGAGACCACACTGCGGTCGTTCAGCTACAGAGACAGCTCTTTCCTCATGGTAGGCTATCGTTTACTAGTGTGTAGCAGCACAATCAATGTGTGGTATGTGCTGTAGACCTAAGTGAAAACTCCTTGAATCCAGAATTGCTTGAATCCATCCGTTTTCTCAATTGGATTTTAAAAATACAGTGCCGTGATGTGTACGTTTACATACGTTTTACACCTCACAAACGTTTCTTTTCATCTTCCGTCTTAGGAACGTTTCAGTGAAGGAGACTTTACTAAATATTGGCTAAATAAGCTTTTCTGACATGTATGTGTTACATGTTTAGTCTTCTGTGTTTTATCGTGTTCTTGGTTCAGTGTCTGTGAGCTAGTTTCCCCCAGTCTGTTTAATCAGTGACGTCATTTACCTTGTTCATTTACTAATCAAGCTCCTTTGTTACTATAGCTCCATGTATTTAGTCCCTGTGTTCTCCCTCAGGGAACGTTTACACGACAACGATGTGCTTTGTACAGTTTCCGTGTACAGACGACATCATTGTCAACGCGATCCCCATTCACACGAATCCACGAAAACGACTACAATCGCTGTATTCTGCACCCAGGCCAGTAGATGGCGATGAAACACTATAGACTGAACACGTAATACGCATGTGCGTGACGTCATCGTCTTCAGAGATTCACGTTTTTGTTGTTTACACTGAGACCGTTTTCAGAAACTTGCACTTTGAAACCCTTTATCAAGTTTGCATTGTCAGGCTCCCAAAACGCCGTTGTCGTGTAAATGAACGGCCAAAACGCATAAAAAGTTGTCGTGCAAACAGACCCTCAGTCTTCGTCCGTTCTCATTAATGACAGCGTTAATGTGTGTGTATTTCTCCTGAGTTTATCCTGTTTGCTATTAAAGCCCATCTCCTAGTATTCTTACTTGTCGTACGATTTACTATTACGTAACAATATGTCCTCTTCATTGATTAATGTATTTATTTATTGATATATTAGGTGGGAACTGTTGTAGGGTCTCTGCTCATCCTGACTTGCCCCGCACTGTGTGAAGTCTCGAGACACGTGGTGTGCGACTCCTTCAGGCTGAACCTCCTCCTCTCATCGCCAGATAAAAAATGGATATTCGCGGCCTCCAAAGAAAACTTTAACTCGAGCCCGAAGGTAAGCCAAGCTAATCTGTGATTCTGAATGCCAGTATCCACACCGACTGACAAACACACACTCTCCTCAAACAGTGTGTTCATCCGCGCTGTGCCGTGTCGAGGGTGTTGAACTACAACTCACGTAAAGTTGATAATTCAACTGCAATTGCAGATTTCGAACAGAGATGGCGACAAAGAGGAAAAACGCCAGACTGCAGCTTTAAAGAGAGGGGGTTCAGCGAAAAATCGGCAGCTGGCAGCAGGAAGTACCTGCCAATAAAACCGGACGTCGGCTGTCGCTAATAACCGGAAGCCAGAGGTGGATGCCGCATTTAGCCAGGCATTTTTTTTTAGTTATTTATTCTATTACTAATTATTTTATATTATTTTATTAAAAAAGGTTTATCAAATATAAATCAGGTAACGAAGAACATAGACATAATACAATAAGCTACACTTGAAATTATGAATTTGTACGTGTATAAATATAATTTATGAATGAGTGCAGGCTACATGTTTGTTAAATAATGACATATACACATACAGAAAGAAATGCCTTTGTAATCATATTGTATATTTATTAAATATAGTCTACATAAACATTCATTAAACTTAAATAATGAGAACAGTCAAAGGCAAAATTCCTTTCAGGATAAATCTCTCAATGTGTCCAAATAGGCCCTATCTTAATTCAATTATAAATATTGTAGCTAATGTTTTTAAAGGGTTTTCTTTAAAAAATCAATTGAAGTGTTCAATCCAGTTATTTCAACTGGTTTTGTAGAGTTTTAGAATCTTTGAGCAGTGTGTATAATTGTCAACAATCTGCCCTTATCTAAACATAAACTGTTTAAGAAACGCGAAATTCGCGATCAACGTCGTTTTATTGGAGTCCTAAGGTGAATTCAAAAGGGGATTATTTTTCTTTGAAGCAACACAGGCTAAATAATAATTAGTTACAGTTGTTTTTTTGTAATTGGTGCGGATGACACGCAGCGCAATATAATATATATTATAAATATAATATATAAATTATGAATTTGTATGTGTATAAATATCATTTATGAATGAGTGTATATGTTTGTTAAATAATTAAATATATACATACAGAAAGAAATGCCTATGTAATCATATTGTATATTTATTACAGTAAATATACATAAACATTATTTAAACTTAAATAATGAAAGCCCTGACTAAACGAAAAAAAGAACATTGTCTTGTTTTTTAACATTGCTATCATTTAAGTTCACTTTTACATTTGTAGTACTACTTTAATACATTCTTGGCTTTGTTTAATAAAGCAGCTGTAACTTTTGAAACAGCTTGGTATTTTTTGTTCTGAAATCAGAATGTTCGATAACAATCCTGAACTAGATGGTAATATTCGTAGACAAACTTTTAGTTGGCTTGAAAAAGCCTAGCCAGAAAGTTTGAAAAAGTTTGAAAATGTTCTAGCATGGTTTAACATGATTTACCATGTTTCTAGTATGGTTTACTATCGCCGGCGCCACCATTGACCATTGGCTGCTGTTGCTTGACTTCCAGTTACATGTGAGTGGTTGCTGCTACGTTGGACGATACTGATTGGCTGCCACGAAGTGACAGGTCCCTCCTAATTTGGTAGGGCTGTCGGCTGCCAGTGGCAGCTACTTCCTGCTGCCGATTTTTTCGCTGAACCCCTACTGGCTTTAAAGTCAATAGTTTGTACATTTTTATTTGATTAGTTCCAAGTATACAATTTTGTACGTTTGGTCTTTTTCCAAAAATATTTTTTCTTCGAATCAAATGTTTCATGTTGGAGCTCACCGGTTTCCAAGGGTTTAAACTCGTATGCCTGTGGGGAAAGAACTGATTTTGGATTACTGCATAAAATAATCTCTGTGAAAATTCAGGATTCTTATACGTTTTGTTCATCATGATAATCTTCACCGAGGAACATGAATTTTGAAGCCAGAAGTACAAAAGTAGGCTATAAACAAACTACACTACGGTCATACTCACTGCGCTTCCGACAACTCTTTCAGTCCTCATTTTTTATTGCTTTCAGTTCGTATGTAAAAAACATTTTCCCTTAAGGTTTGAGTTATAGTTTTCAAGAGTGTGATTATAAGCACAACGAGGTTGTGAAAGCGACTCGTGAGCGGATGAGTTTACCCGTTCGAGGTGATGATGTTTAATGTCCCCGGCAACATCTGTATTCCCATAACTCTGATGTTTTTTATGTCACACAATAAAATGTGAGAATATCTCGAGCTTGTGTTTACCACAGACCTTATTTCAGGTATTTAACCAAAAACCCACTGGCTTTGAGACAATGGAACCAGAAGTGCTAAAATGCAACTCGTTTAAAGTTTTGGCCTACAAAAATACACCATCCCTGCAGCATAACAACATATATCAAGATATCCCGTTTGAAATGCATGTTTAAGTTAGTTTGGAAAGACTGGCGTGTGTTTGGGCAGGTTTTCTACAGTGAGAGTGTGTGTTGTCCTGCTGAAGACGAGGACAGTGTGTGTGACAGTCTGCCCGTCTCTGGCTGCTGTGCCGCCGTCTTCCTCCCGTCTCAACCGGCTCGACTCGCAGTGATCCAGTCTGACGGCCTCTTCACCAACACAACACTCGCAGTCTTCGACCTGGCCTTAAAGGAGTCCAAATACAAAAAGCAACCACAAGGTTAGCCTTAGAAAACTATTGCTTTTCTTGTGTGAGCAAAAATGTGCCGTTTTTGTGTGCGTCCCTTTAAATGCAAATGAGCTGCTGCTCCGCCTCCGCTCAGAAGAGGGCGGAGCCTTTACACAAGCTTCAGAGACTCATAACAAAACACACCAATCACTCCAAAACTCAGAAATAACCCGTAGCGAGTGCAGCCTTACGGAGAGACTCGGGAAGAGGTTCACTTTAGACGCACCTGGACGTTTCTGAATGGTTAGTGGAGACATGTATGTAGTTGTTGTGCTTACATTGATTCACCTCATCGACTTGCATGTACCGTCATGTTTAACTTTTACACAAGTGTCCACAGTTCCTGAGGTGTTCATAAGACAGCGGAGACATGTTCTGTTCAGTGTCGTCTGTGCTCAACCACAGAACAGTTTCAGGCTTTGCTGGATCTTCTGCCGCTGCGTTAGAAGTCTCTGTTGTTGCTTGTGAAACCAAATGTCGGCTGGTGTGCAGATTAAGGGCTGGTAATATTATAATAAGATCCCCTTCCTACATCAGAAGGGGAGCGAAATCTGATCGGCTTATTTTTAGACACGCTTGCAGAGAAAGGCTCACCAAAAGAAAGTTACTGGGTTTCACTTTTCAGGTTTTCTGGGTTGGTAGATGCACAGGGGACCCGACTGTAGCACTTACACACCGAAAAAGTCAGATTTTCATGATATGTCCCCTTTAGTGCAATATTTGTTGTTTACAATCTTCACGGACCTACAAATGACAATTGAAAGTATTATGATGCAATGTTTCCTGAATGTCATGCTCGGATGCGATGTAGCTCAGCAAGTGGCGAGTTTCGGGGTCGCGCTGAGCCGTCGGTCAGACGTGGTCCTCGAGGCGAGAGGGAACAGCACTCTTCTGGTCGCAGACGGGAACCATCTGAAGGTCTACACGTTTAAAGGAGAACTTGTGGCTAGTTTTCAAGACCATTTACAGCCAATCGCTGCTCTCTGTGTGGTAAGTGTTTGAACACTCGCATCAACACTTTCCCTGCGAGTCGTCTCGCTCATAAAGCATGCTGTACTGACTCTGCAGGACAGTTTCCGGGTGGTGACCGCATCTCGAGACCTGTCTCTCAGAGTACTGACCTGGAGAAATGACCCAGAGCACGGGCTGACCCTGGAGAGCCAGTATCACCTGCTCGGAGGATCCCTCCAGAGATCCAGGTACAGCGCAATCACCCGTACTAACAACTAGGGCTGTCACTTTTGTCAAAAAATCCTGTTTGATTTTTGAGACATAAGTGTTCATTGAATCGAGTGTAAAATCGATTTTCTATGTCTAAAGACGTTTCCATTTTCAACACCAAATATAGGCAAATCCACGGACACCTAACAGGCATTAGGACGAGCGTAAAGAGGCGCTTGAGACGCCAAGTCAGCAATATTCCTGATGATTTATTGGCGTGAAGTTTCGTCACAATGACAAACAGGAGCGCAACATTCAGGGATTGAAATTAACGCCCTACAACCCGCCAAATGCGGGTACAAATGAACTTTGGCGGGAAACGCTGTCAAATCATGAGCCAATCTGTTGTGTTTCTGTGTTTACTCACTTTGCCGGGGAAGTTCGTGTCAGACAAATCTGCACGGATTTAGCACAAATACGCAACTCGTGAGTCCTCATGATATATTAAATACAGCGTATTGCAGAATCTGCGCATTTCTTGAACACACACGTCACTACACAACAAATAACGGCGCGACATTGTTATTTTCCAACATCCTACATGTTCTGTGTCCTGTATTGATCCGTCCACATAAAACACATTTTTGGTAAAAAAAAAAAAAGAAAAAAGGCAGTTAAAAACGATTCCCTATTTTCGTTTTCGACTCTTGTGTTGGTTTGTCCAATCGATTTTCGAACGTAAAGTGATGTTCACATGTACTGTATTTTGTAAATTGATTTTTTTTTTCTCTGTCTAGAGGATTCACCAACGTTGCCTGTGATTACTCCAGTATTGTGGCCTCTGTGGAGTCATTGGATGGGAAGGATGTTTTGAAGGCTTATACCTTTGATTTCTGAAACCACCACATGTATTCAGATCTTCACTGACCAGATCCATGTTTAGCCAAAGATGATCTTGCATTGATGAGACAATAAAAAAAGTGTTCTCAAACAATTCAAAACTGTTAAAAGGCTGTAACTGTTTGCATAAAACATAACTTTTCTTTCTAATCTTCAGTTAGCGTGCACACTTTAGCCTTTGTATGCAAACGAAAAATGAAAACTGTCTTCATTTTACATTAATGTAATCTACTTATTTTATTACAAATAACTGTACAAACATGGTACAAAAATGAGAGGTTTCAGTTGCAGTGCTTTTCAAGTATTAACACCATGGCACATAATATACAGTATGTGAGTTATCTACATCAAAACACTTAACGGTAACACTTTACAATAAGGTTAAGATTAGTTAAAGGAGCTGTATGTAAGATTGTGGACAAAACTGGTACTGCAATCACTTTCAAATTACTGTAGAGCGGTGTATCCCCTCCCCCTCCCCCCTGACTCGAGGTTGCCAGATAGGCTGCAGGATCCAGCAGGAACACAGGCTGCTACAAGGAGCTTTCAACTAGAGCAGAGCTGGCAACCCGGATGCCGAAACACTACTGACTTCGTGATTGGTAGATAGGTGGAGGGTGGAGCATCAGACCAAAACACAACATGACAACATCAACATCAGTTGAGGGCTGCAACTTCACTTTTTAAATGACAATATCGTGGCCGTACTACTGTTGTCAGTGATATAAGTATTTGAAATGAACATGATTTCTTAATGTCTAGAGACACATCAGGGCCATTTTATGATTAATTGAAATACATTTCTTACATACAGCTCCTTTAATGTATTAACTTACATGAACTAACCATGAGCAATACATGTGTTACTGTATTTGTTAATCTTTGTTAATGTTAGTTAATAAAAAATAAAGCTGTTCAATGTTAGTTCACAGCGCATTAACTAATGTTAACAATATTTTAATAAAGTATTAGTAAATGTTGAAATCAATAATTAACTGCACTTATACAGCATTTATTAGTCTTTGTTAATGTTAGTTCATGCTAACAAATGTAGTTAACTAATGAACCTTATTGTAAAGTGTTACCCATATAAAATGCATTTTTCAGCGCTTACAAATGGGAACAATGGATCATGTGTTGTTCATCTGAACTAAGAGCCGAGGAACAAACAAACACTTTGATACGGATCCTCCCATGACCCTGTTCTTCAGTCCTGTGCCAAGCTTCACCGGTCACTGAGAAACTGATGTGTGGAGCTTTTCTTTGATAATGGACAGATGTAAATGAACTAACTCTCTTTGCAGTGAAGGTGTTCAGTTAGGTATTGTTACCCGTGTTACACCTCAAACTCGTTCATGGCGGCCGACCTCAAATCATGCAGAACAAGCTTCCAGACGCTCTTCCCACCATCTGAGCTTTTCATCTGAAGAAAGCAAAAAGTGAATAAAAGTGTGCATGTAAGCATTTATGCACATCTTTAGAATGAGACGGTACCTGTGTGAAAGCTTTTGCTGCTCGCTCCAGAAAAGCGCTCTCGACTTCCTCGGGTACTGTAAGTAAATGAGCGAAACAGTCCAGAATACACCTCACTGTTTCTCTGGAAGCCTGGAGTTGGTAATAAGAATGGATTCAGATTAGTTCCATGAAATCAGTTCCATTTAGAATCCTGCATGGAATGCCTCTTGTGACCTCACCCTATCGAGGCTGTTGAGGACAGTCGTGGGGTCCTGGCTGGCCTCGTGTAGCGCGTGGACATCATGAGCTGAGATGATCGGCTCTTTGAGCTGCTCCAACCAGGACCACAAGATTCCAGACAGAATAAACGGGTCTTTTTCCAAGCACAGTCGCTCCCACGCTCCCTGCCGATTGAGGTCGGTCTGCAGAAAAGAACGAAACACGTACTAACCTTGCATTCAGAAAACGAAGGTCATATTTTTTATATGATGTGAATAGATTGTTGATTAGCTAGATAAGACATTAACTAGGTCCTGATGCAGAGCTGCCTTTCTTCAGCAGGACCATTGTTTAGTTCGATTGAATCGAACTCTAGTGCTTTTCCCCCCTTGATGCGGATCTTTTGAGCAGGTGTGAATACAGCAATCGCTCTCGGGTGCGGACCAAACAACTCTGGTACGGTTCGAATTTCTGTCCAATGAATGGATGACCTTAGCACACATGTGGTTTTGTTTACAAATTGTTTACAAAAGGGCCGTGTGAAAGCGAACCACACCAAAAGCAAGTGAACCAGTGGACGTTCCTGGTGTGAATACACCCTCAGACTTGACATGCTGAAGCCGCTGAAAGGACTGGCATGAAGAGTTGTCTACGCCAGGCCACATACACCCCTGACCTGTTGGTTCAACAACTAGGCTAGGCGTTTAAATGAACTGAAACAGAGAAGCTGCATTTTCACAGCATTCATTTCTCTAGTTCACATGTTCATGTAATCTTTAATGAACAGGAGGTATACATATTTGGCTTAAAAAAAACTATTGGCAAAAGAGCTTTTAAGTTTAAGGCTCTAGCAGATTGGAATAATCTATCTGTGGAAATAAGATCAATTTCTTTACTTGGTTTGTTTAAACATGCCTGCTCACTTTAAGATAAGCTTCCTCTGTTATTAAAGATGCAATTTTTAGATCTACTGTCCATACCTAATGTTTATATTTGACTAGTTAGAAATTCACTCATACTTTACTGCTTACTTGTTTACTTATTATTGGCCATCTTGGCCTTTTGGTGGTTGTAATTTATTGATGAACACATGCAGGTGTTGTTGTTTGTTTGTTGTTCTTTTTGTTGCGGTTTTGATTTTTCACTTCTGTGTTATGTAATTGTTGTGTTATATGTTGGGACCCCCTCGAAAACGAGATGATAAACCTCAAGGGGTTTATCCTAATAATAAACAAATTTGAACAAATATACTCCTGCTCAGGCGCTGATCAGTAAAGTCAAGTCAACGTTATTTTGTAGTGCTTTTACAATACAGATTGTTTCAAAGCAGCTTTACAGAGATAACAGGAAAATAATACAACAAAGTTTGTTTCCAGAAGAAAATAGTGTCACAGTCCAGCTGTAAGTTCAGTGATGGTTCATTTTTGTTGTAAAAAATATATTAATTTAGTTCATTTATATATAGCCACTCTGGAGAAAACAGTGATGTCATCGCTGTCATCGTCCAGCTCAGTTCAGTTCTCATATGATAATGTCAAAGCAGAAAGATTAACAGTATTGTTGAATATTAAGTGTCCCCAACTAAGCAAGCCAAAAGCCAAAGGCGGATTGGTCAGATTAAATGAACATGTTTCTCATTAACCTTTGTCAGAAACTCTTTAAAAATGAACTAAGAAATACTAAGAAGCCATTTAGCCATGCAACCTCTAAAATGGTGAAGACAGTGGAATCCTGTGGTTAAGATAATTATTGCCTTTAGGACAAGAGACCATAAGCCCAAACCTAGATTCAGATCAAGACCTAGACCACAAGAGAACATGTTTCTCCCATGATCTCCCATCAGATCACAAATGACATTGTGGAGCAGTTCCCGAACTCATCCTGCTAAACACATGCCTGGAGGTATCCTAACCCACACCCTAGACTTTTAGTCTTCTTAGTTCATCAGCACATGCACCCATACCTGCCAAGTGGCCACTTTCTGGATGTGTTTCTTCCCCCCGTCCTTCTCGAGGTCCACGGCGAGGGACTGAGCCACCAGGAGGCGGCGGGACTCCAGAGACAGCTCGGACTGGAGCTTGATCACAGGCACCTCCGAATGCTCTTTCTCATGAACATTTCCAGTCTCGTCGGGGGCAGAACTTTTCTTGCAGTCTTTCTTCCAGAAGGACAACATTCTGGCGATGCTTGTGGAGTTTTTTTCATCTGAAATGCCCACAGATTGGCTCCGCTGCAGGACAGACTGCCTCCTGCTTTTGACCAGTTGGGATCCTTCGGCCTGGTCCATGAGTGTCTTCAGCTCCCAGATATTGCTGGTTGAGCTGTAGATGGGATTGTCCTTACAAGCGCCCAGAGAAGGAGGGATATGGCTCTGGGAAAATCCCATCTGATTGCCGAAGGTCGACGAGTGTATGCTGGCTAAAAGACCCAGAGGGTTATCTGAGAGGTTGAGAGACGCCGCTAGCCTCAGCAGGTCAGACTCGCTGTAGCTGAGGCTCTTACGCACGTAGTAAAGAGGTTGTGAGCTGTCTCCGTTGGCTCTAGGAAGACCTGGAAGACGTGGGCGGATCATCGTCATCCCGTTTCCCGGGATCTCTCTGTTTAACTGATAGCTCGAGTTCTCATTAATCGGTTTCTCTTCGACAGATGTGATTTCGGAAACTTCGACGATGTCCTCCTCGATGACCTGCCGGTTCTCTGCGATGTCCAGGAGAAGTCTGCAGACGAGGGGAACGAGCTTTGGCACGAATCTCAGCTGCCGAGCCTCGTATCCGTGCAGGACGTGGTTCTGCCGGATCAGATACTGCGGAAGAGTGACGGCCGGCGCTCCAGGATCACCGCTAGCGAACAGGTTCCTCAGGGGAACGAGGAACTGAGCGAACTGCCGCACGCACTGGAGCTGTCCTCTCGTCTGGATCGAGTTCGGTCGTTTGCCTCGGACTAACAGAATGGCTTGATCTGCTGTCATCTGTGTGGTGAACAACAAGAAACAGGCCAGCAACACACCTAAGACAAAAATGTGTAAAAAGAGTTAGCATCTAGCTAGAGTACATATGTTGCAGTTTGTTTTAGTTTTTTTTTTTTTTACATTCCCTCTATTGTAACTAAAACACGACATGCAGCCAAAGTATTTGTATTACCAAAAAAATATCAGTATTAGGAAATGACTATAAGTCAGATTGCCTAAAATGCTGTTGCGCTATATGTTGGAGCGCTATCCACAAGTTATTTAAAAACATTTGGTTAGTCTTTATTTAAGGTGTTCTTATTACAGTGTAATTGTACATTTTAGAACCAAGTAAGATTTATTAACTAAATGTACTAACTATAGGGTTATGTGCTTGTAATTATGCATAATTTACAGTTATTACTATAGTAATTACATTTAATTACATGTAACAAGGACACTGTGTTACTAAAACGTTGTGCCCGCTGGGTAGTGCT